AAAACTCGGAGGTCCGCTCGGATTTCTCGGATCGGCGCTGGGCCCCTTTCCCTGGCGCGGGGAGCGCGCCAGGGGCGGTGCCTGAGGCGCCGCCAGGGGGGTCCAGCGCGGATCCAAGAAATCCGCGTGGACCTCCGATTTCTTATGTTTATATCATTGTTCGTTTCCCTAGTCATGTGCGACCCAGACGGACCACAGATGTTCACAAAGCGCTTGCGCGCCCTCACAGGAAGCAGCCGCGCTCTCCTTCCCAATAGGCCACTCCCACCACTGTGCCTTGGGTCGTAGGCCTTTTGGATGTTCGTTGGGAGGTCGTGGGAGGCCTTTTGGAGGCTGTTTTGAAGCGTCTTGGGGGCCGTTGTGGTGCCTCTTGCGGCGCCTTGGGGGCCTCTTGGGGGCCCCTTGGGGCCTCTTGGGGGCCTCTTGGGGCATCCTGGGAGTATCTTGGAGTGAAAAGCTCGAATTGTCGGTTCGGGTTCCCCCTCTTGGGCCGAATTTGGGGCCCGGGAGGGGGAGCCCGACCCTGTCTTTGCGGTCGTGTTTTCCGTCTGCGGCGCCTCGTGGGCCGTCCTGGGGCCCTCTTGGGCCGTGTTGGGGCCCTCTTGGGTTGTTTTGGGACGGCATTTGGGGCCCCTTGGGCCGCCTTTGACTCCGTGAAAAAAGAACGCCGGATATGCTAGAGTAACTATGCGTTTCTTCCGAAGGCGATTTGACGATGTTTGCCTGTTGGGGCCCTCTTGAGGGTGCTCTTCGAGGCCTCTTGGGCACGTTTTCGGCTGACTGACTCCACCCACCTCCTTCCTCCTCCTCCTCCTCCTCCTCCTCCTCCTCCTCCTCCTCCTCCTCCTCCTCCTCCTCCTCCTCCTCCTCCTCCTCCTCCTCCTCCTCCCCCCCTCCTCCTCCTCCTCCTCCTCCTCCTCCTCCTCCTCCTCCTCCTCCTTGGAGGCTATCTTGGATCTTGGGAGTCTTCGACCGATTGTTCGGCGGTTTGGCTCGAGGCCCTCGCGGCGCGGCCCCGCGCGGCCTTCTGCTCCGAGCTTCCCCCGACCATGGAAGCCTGCGCCAGCGACTTCCGCCGCAGCGATGGACGTGGCGGAGCCTTCGAGCAGAGCCCCGAATCATCAGGGGTAACTCGGGTCAGGGCTAACTCGGGTTCCTTCTTCGGGAATCCAAACCCGAGTTACCCCGGACCCGAGTTACCCCGGACAACTCGGGCGTCCAGAGCCCCGAATCATCAGGGGTAACTCGTGTCAGGGCTAACTCGGGCTCCTTCTTCGGGAATCCAAACCCGAGTTACCCCGGACCCGAGTTACCCCGGATAACTCGGGCGTCCAGAGCCCCGAATCATCCGGGGTAACTCGGGCCAGGGCTAACTCGGGTTTCTTTTTTTCGGGAATCCAAACCCGACTTACCCCGCACCCGAGTTACCCCGGATAACTCGGGCGCCCAATTCGAGCCCGGAGGGGGAGCGACGGCAGCCTGGGTGCAGGGTTCCGACCTCCAAGCGAGAGGCGGAGGCAATTCCGCGCCGGCTGGTCGACTATTTTGGCCACGGCGATCTGCAAGGAGAATGAATTGGTTGGCGGCAGTGGTTACCAGCGCTCGAATGAAAGCTTGGTGTCTGTGCTGAAGTATTCAGCTCCAGAAGGATCCATCTCCGTGCGGGACCACGCGTTGGGCTTTCGCAGCCATGCGCCAGAAGATGATCATGTGGAGGTCGTCTTCCACTACACGTCCAAGCTCGGGTTTGTGAACGTCACTAATCTGGTTTTGGGACGTCCACGCTGTTGGCCTCACTACAGTGAGCCCGCACAGTAAGGATGGGCAACCTTCTCAAGGGTACCCTTGCACCCTTGCCTCTTCGGCCCATCCGTGGCCTCGTTCGTTGGCCGAGCCCTGCTCGACAATGGGCGCCCAAGGACCTGGTATCCTTATCGCGCATCACTGCTATGCTGGTTGTTTGTAACGGAAGTCCGTGCGCACTTTGGACATAAAGTCAATGGCGCTACGTTGGAGCCCGCCCAGCGGGGAAAACGATTACCTGTGTTGATGAACGATTACTGCATGGGCATCCAGGTCAACCCCAACCGCGAAGACGCCAAAAAGGTCCAAGACAGCCGGTCCGACCGGTATTGGTTTTGTGCATCCCGATGTTGGTGACGCCTTCCCTTATCTACAACGTCATGGCGCGATCGCCACCAGACGTAGCCGCCGAAATCCAGGGTGCGCAAGAAAGGGGCAAGTTGCTGGACCCGGAAGATGGAGTGTTCCAGAGGGAACAGGAATGACGCCTGGTGGACCCCAGCTGCGAGGTTTGGGTGGTGCGCGTGACGATCAGCACGGCCACGTCGTGCACCCGGCATCTGCGCCCAGTTGCATCCAGCAGACATGTCATGCCCAGGTGCGCGTGCTAACGGAGAAGCTCGGGGCCCAGCGCCAGGAGACCCTCCGCACCAAAAATCATGTCGCGATCCTCGTAGAGGAGACCCGGCGCAGAGAGGAGGCCGAGGCCCGATGCCGCGAGGTCCCCGCCGCCCGGGAGGGGGCGCTCGGACCTTCAGCGCCAAGCATAATCTCGCAGTCTTCGTGAAGCAGACCGTGCGCAGAGATGAGGCCGAGGCCTTCCACCGCGCGGCCCTCGCCGTCCAGGAGGGGACGTTCGGGGCCCATCACCAGGAGACCCCCCGCACCAAACATCATCTCGCAATCCTCGTGGAGGAAACCTGGCGCAGAGAGGAGGCCGAGGCCCGATGCCGCGAGGTCCTCGCCGCCCGGGAGGGGGCGCGCCGACCCTCAGCACCATGCATAATTTCGCAGTTTTTCTGAAGCAGACCTGGCGCAGAAAGGAGGCCGAGGCCCTGTACCGCGCGGCCCTCGCCGTCCAGGAGGGGGCGTTCGGGGCCCAGCACCAGGAGGCCCTCCGCACTGAGCATCAACTCCCGGACCTCCGGAAGCAGTCCGGGCGCAGAAAGGAGGCCGAGGCCCGACGCCGCGAGGCCCTCGCCGTCCAGGAGGGGGCGCTCGGAGGCCAGCGCCAGGAGACCTTCCGCACCAAGCATAATCTCGCGGACCTCCTGAAGCAGTCTGGGCGCAGAGAGGAGGCCGTGGCCCGACGCCGCGATGTCGTTGCCGCCCAGGAGGGCTCGCTTGTGGGCCGGCATCAGGAGACCCTCCGCACCGAGCATAATCTCGCGGACCTCCTGAAGCAGACCGGGCGCATAGAGGAGGCCAAAGGCCAAAGCCCTCGTGCAGTTGGGCCCACCCGTTCGGGAAGGCACGTTTGGGGCCGAACGGTGCATGAGATGGATCTCGCACGCCTCTTCAGAGTTCGTGCGCCCGCGCAGGTGCGTCGGGAATGCGTTCGATGGTCAGTTCCCTTGTCGTTTTACAGCGCGCGGATGCGCCCCCCGGTGCATTGCCTGGCGTTGCGTGTTGAGACGGCATTTTAAGGTACTCCAAACCTCTGAACCATCACACACGCACGCACACACCCGCACACACACACATATATATATATATATATATATATATATATATATATATTGGACCGTATTGGGCGCCAATGGGGACCCTCTTGGCCCGTCTTGGGGCCCCCTTGGCGCCGAACAAGTTACGCGGGAAAGCGCTGGCGAGCCCTGGGGGCACGCGCTAAACCTTCAGAGGTCTTGAGAATTTTGGGCCCCGCCCCCCCTCCAGAAACCCACGCGATTGAGGATTGCACTGGAGCTCAAACATTGGGCCGAGGTCCTTGGGACACTCCAGCTCGTGCCTCAGGGCACGGCGGCGCACAATGACACATCGCAGCTCCAAACTTGTGTATGCTTTGCGAGACTCTGCCCGTGGATCGTGGTGGCCGCCAATGCTTGCCGCGTGAACATCTGGCTGGCGCCAGCCCTGACATCCATCGGTTCCACTTTCGGGGGCTGGCGTGGCTGAGTTTGGTGGGACCTGGTTCAGCGATGCGTGCCAGGGGAACCCCCTCGCTTCACACTCGTGCAGGTTCCAACTCATACGATGCCAACGTGCACTGGTTACGCACGCCCACCGATCCCACGCGCCCGCCTTGCGCGCGCAAGCCGATTCTGGCCTCCCCGAGGCTTCGGAAAACCCAGAAGGCGCCAGCCCCAGCCCGGGGGTCCAGAGCCCTGCCCGGCCGTCGGGGGCGGCCAAGAAGTGGGTGATGATGACCAGGGGGGATGGATATCATTGCGCGGGCCATGTTGCAGTGGGGGCCCATGCCAAGAGACACCCTGCTTGCCTCCACGGTGCCCTGGATGTTTTCGGTGGTTCCGATGGCATTGCGATAGAAAAGAGTGCGGCGCTCCCGTACCACGAATCAATGGACGGCCTGAGGTCTCAGGGTTGGGTATATAGTGGAAGATTTATTGTGGTCGGGTCCCTATTGTATCTCCTCAGATGTCATGGCGCCCTTCTTCTTACTTTGAGCTGCGCCCCCCCTAATGGGCGCCCCCCCTTTTCGGCCGCCACCCCGAGCCCGTCAGGACGAGCTCAAGAGGGCATACCGCCGCATGGCCATGCGGTGGCACCCGGACCGGCCGCACAACAGCGGCAAGGCGGCGGAGGCGCCCTCTGCGCAAGCCGGAGCGCGTGGTTGCGTGCTTTCGGGGGCGAGGAGGAAGCGCGCGATGGGAGAGGGAGGGATGGAGGGGAGGGGGTGTGGAGGGGAGGGGGCGGGGAGGGAGGGAGAGAAGGAGGACGAGGAGGAAGAAGAGGAGGAGGAGGAGGAAGAGGAGGAGGAGGAGGAAGAGGTGGAGGAGGAGGAGGAGGAGGAGAAGAAGAAGAAGAAGAAAAAGAAGAGGAGAGGAGGAGGAGGAGGAGAGGAGGAGGGAGGAGGAGGAGGAGGAGGAGTGACTGGGGGAGGGACTGGGCGGAACGCCACGGGGGGCCAGCAGGAACCTACTTGACTGGGGATGGAATGCGCACCTTCTGCAGCCTTCCCCACCAGAATTCATGAGCACGGATTTGTTCATCCCACCCGCCCGTTATTGAAAGCAGCGCGCCTAAAAGCGCGGCTACCCGGGTGATGCAAGCGCTGCCATTTCAAATTCTTTGGCCCGCGCTCCAGGAGCGACGCCAGCACGGAGCGCAAGGAGGGGTTTGTGGGGGTGCCTTCGGAACGCATGTCTTCCCTGAGGTTTCAGATACAGGTGAACCCTTCGATGCTGGGGTAGAGAAACGCAGATAACAATGATATGTTGATTATGAAAATGAGGATCAGAAGGAGGAGGAGGAGCAGAAGGAGGAGGAGGAGGAGGAGATGATGATGTTGTTGTTGATGATGATGATGATGATGATGATGATGATGACGATGATGATGATGATGATGATGGTGGTGGTGATGATGATGATGATGATGGTGATGCTGATGGTGATGCTGATGCTGATGCTGATGCTGATGCTGATTGCGATGATGATGATGATGATGATGATGATGATGATGATGATGATGATGATGATGATGATGATGATGATGATGATGATGATGATGATGATGATGATGAATCTGGACATGATGATCCACGCATCCAAGAAGGTCTGGAGCTCCCCGCTCGATACAGCCTCCCGAAGCCATGGCCTTTCCCTCTGGCGCTGCGGACGCAAGGCCTGGCCCGTGCCCAAGGCACACTCGCAGCCTCGCCTGAAGACTAGAGGCCACGCCATCCGCCTCGGCCGAGGCAAGCGGAAGGCAGGGCAACGAGCATTCACGGCAACTCAGCATGCTGGCTCGAGGTGTCACAGCACCGCAACCCTCCCGCTGGCACATGGCCAAGGACAGGGAATGTTTGCAATGCGGTGGCCTTCGGAGGCAACCATGGCGGTGTGCGAACCTACCACCACGGTCCAGCCTCCGACTGGCGGCACAGAGCAGAGCACGCTGGGGCGCAAGAAGCGCTGGCCGTCGCGGCAAGCGCGCCAGCCACTACATTAAACGGAGCGTTCCAGTGCGTGGAAACCTACGCACCTGGTCCAACTTCCGCTCGAGCGAGAGCCGTGCAACGGCACGAGCTAGCTCAAGAGCGGGAGACGAGCGCCGAGCAAAGCTGCCTAGCCTGCAGCATCGCCGCGTCCAAGGGACGTACCGTTGCCGCGAGCAAGCAAGGCGCAAGCGCGCCCGACTAAGCACAGTGCAAGCGGCTGCACCTCGCCACCAACACCGCAGCGGGTCCTGGCCAGATGCCGACCTGCTACGTTGCCGCTGGCAGCCGAACCCGAACCCGTGCGTGTGGAAACCCCTACGCACTTGGTTCCGCCTCAGCACTAGGACGGGCGGCGCTGCTGGAGAGCGGCGCGGAACGCGCCTTGCAGCCGCGACTCCCCCCGCAAGGCAACACCCTCACGCGACCTGAGGCACCAAGTAGGGTTTGGTTGCCTTGCAGAGGCGGCCCGAACAGCCGTGTGCAAACCACACGTCTGTTCGCGCGATGGCAGACAGAGCGAGGCGGCAAGCGTGGCAAGGAAAAGCCTAGCCACCATCGACGCGCCTGCGCATGCGCCGCAGCGGCTCAGGGTCACCGATGCCGCCCGCCCCAGCGGGCTGCAGGCCGCGCTTCAGCCTGCTGAGCACCGCCTTCTGCCTATCGTTCTTGGGGGCCTTCGGGCACTCCGCTGCCAAGCCCGCCATCCTGCGGCTCTGCGTCCAGCAGCCGCACTTCACGCAGAAGAGGTGGTTACCAGCCCGCCACAGGTCGTGGGAGCCGTGGGCGTCGAATCCCCACCACGGCGGGAGCTGCGGCGGCGGCGGCGGCGGGGTCCCGCCACCGGCCCCAGAAGGACCCCCCGACGTCGGTGGGCTACCCCGCTGGCCGCCGCCAGGCGCGCCGCAGCCGACTCGCCCTGCACTCGCCTCGTCTCCTTCCGCCTGTGCTGGTGCCTCGCTGGCCTGACTGTGGGACAGCAGCGCCGCGCCCGCCGTGATGAGCGCCGCGGCTGCAGCGACCGATCCGCCACTGCTCTCGGCCCCTGAGGCCCAGGAGCCCGCGAGCGCGTCGCCCCTGCCCGCACTGCTGGCAGGCCCAGACCGTGTCGCCGTCGACGTCCAGCCACGTCCCGTGCCGCCCGCACGTGCGCTGCGGGCAGTCGGGGAAACTGCAGTGAGCTCGCCATCGCATCTTGCAGCCGCGCCAATCGCACCGAACTGCTTCCAAGCCTGGGCCCTCGTGCCCGTCCGCTGCCGTGAGCTCGGCGTCGCCGTCCTGCATCGCCGCACCCAGCCAGCAGAAGACCTTCTTGACGAGGCGATCCTGCCTGCGGCTCCTATCTCGCACGTCGTCGTCGCTGGGATGCATCTGCGCGCCCTGCACGGCGCGGGCATCGGCGCTGTGATTGCCCCGCCGCTGCCAGGCCGTGACGCGCTCCGCCTGCACGTCCGCCAGCGTGGCGTGCGCTTTCACCTTGTGGATGGTGACGCTGCCGACCCCCACGTCGCCGAGGGCCGCCCAGAACCGCGCCCAAAGCTCGCGGTAAGGCCGCTGCCACTGCAGGCGCCACGCCCTGCCCGCCGCGAAGCCGTCCACGAGCAGCTTGCAGTCAGTGAAGATCCGCACAGGTGGTAAGCAGCTCTGGATGCCCTCGATGGCCGCCACCAGCTCCGCTGCCCCTGATTCTTGGGGATACGGCCAGGGGAGCGGGCCGAAGAGGCTGACTGCCTCGCTGTCGGGTCCCATGACGACGACCGCCCAGCCGCCGCGCGCCGAGACGAGGCCGGGGTCCAGAACGCTCCCGTCCGTGAAGAGGTCGCCCGAGAGCGGCTGCCCCACCAGGTCGGCATGACCCTCCTTCCGTGCCTCCCTGGCGTCGGTGGGCGGTGGCAGGGTCCTTCGGTGCTCGGGTGCCAGAGCGCGGGACCAGAGCGGGTCCTCTTCTCCCACGATGCTGGCCATGCCGACGATGGTGCGAAAGGGGATGTCGCCAGGGGGGCACCGCTCGTCCGCCTCCTCGTTGGAGATCCACTCGCCGCGGCTGACCTCGGTGGCTGGGCACTGCCACGCCAGGTGCCGCACTGTGCCGTGCGCAGGGCATCCCCTGGGACACCATGGAGAGGAGGCCAATGGGCGTTCCTCGAAGAACCGCCGCGCCACGGGCCAGAGACATCCGACCAGCGCGTTCTTGGCCGAGCTCATCTGCTTGGCCTTCTGCTTGCTCATGCGCTGGCGCGCCAGTGTGCGCCTGATACTGGACAGGGCGCCTCCATCGCGCAGGTGCTCCAGTCCTGGGTGCTTGCTCGCTGCTCGCCACAGCGCCCTCTCGTGGCCATCGGCGATGTGCTTGGCGAGCGTGGAGGCCCCCAGGGTCCGTAGGTCCAGCGGCTGCTGCTTGTCGTTGGTGAGCAGCCCTGGCAGTGTGGCGGTCCAGCCCAGGCGGTGGCAGGCTAACACGCACGCAGCAGCTGGGCCGCGTCCAGCCAACGCCTTAGGCCCGCCTCTGGCCAGCAACGTCCTAGCCCCTGCGAAAGCGCTGCCCGGGGCCCTCAGGTCCCTGCTGTCCGAGTTGAACTGCACCGCCTTGGCCCATGCGACAATGGGCAGCGCCACGTGGTCGTACAGCGGGTCGCAGTGCAGACGCTTGCTGAGGAGGAAACTGAGGCTGAGGCTCTTGCCTGGGCCGTGCCCATGGTGGACGGCGTTGACCTGGCCCCTCCACTTGTTGAGTTGCGACGTCGGCCAACCCACCACACTCAGCCCATAGCGAGTAGCAGGCCGCAGACCAGTGTTCGCCACTCGAGCTGCTGCTGGGGTCTCCTGCGAGCGGATGGCGTGCAACCTCTGCAACTGGGATGCCGCCTTCGTATGCCGCTTCTCGAGGACCACGAACGCCTGGCCGTCGAGGCAGTAGTCGACCCCCAGGTTCTTGACCGAGTCGGCGATGGGAAAGGCGATGCCTCCCATTAGCTTGGCGACCAGTGATGCCAGCTCTGGCGAGCTGGCCAGCAGCTCGCTCTTTGCTGCTGAGACCTTGCAGCCTAGGGCCTCCAGCTGTGAGATGACCGCCTTCGTCGCCTGGGCCACGTAGGCTGCGACCTGTGCCATCGGTCCGTGGCAGCCGACGCAGCAGTCGTCGAACATGATGGCGAGGGTGACTCTGGGCTCGAGCGCCCGCCACAGCCGCGCATGCTCGTCCGCGAGCACCAGCAGGCCGCACTTGAGGAGCCGACCCGCATGCGAGCACCCCGCGATGAGTCCCGCATCCAGCAGGTAGGGCTCGGACACGCTACCGTCAAGCATGAAGCGGCGCTCCCCCGCGTACAGGGTGAGGGCCATACCCAGCAGGCCCCGAGGGTAGCCAGCCAGGACGCCACGGCTCTGGATGATGGCCAAGTCCACGAGCTCGTAGGCCTTCCATAGGTCGATGAGTGCCGCTGCTGCTCCTTCTCCACGTGCGTGTGCGGCTTCTGCGCGCAGGGCCTGCCACCAGACGGCCTCTTCGGCCGCACGGCCGCGCCCCCCCCAGAAGGCGCCTGCGACGCCAGGGTCAATCTGCGAGCCCCAGCGCCGCGCCACGGGCTGACGGACTCGGCTCCAAAGGCGCGGGAGCCAGCCCAGCAGCCCTATGGGCCGAAACCCGC